TGAAAAATTTTCCCCCCGTGTTTAATTTATTTTGTAGGGAAAAGGCCAAGATACTTCTTTGTTGAAATTTTTCCCCCCTATTTGAAATTTTGCCCACATATTTTCTTTTTTTTATTTGCAACTCTTCTTAAAAGGGTAAAAAGGGCATCTAGTATTGAAAAAACATGCTTTCAAAAAAACCTTTAATTTAAATGTTTTTTTAAACTCTGTTTGACCTTTCTAAAGAAGAAAAAATTTGTTCGAAATTGTGTTTAATGTTTTTTTTGGGAATTTATTTTTCTTATAGAAATTTAAACCCTTTTTAATGTAAAGGGAAAGTTACAAAAATTTTGCATACCCTTTTTCAATGAAAAAAAAGAAAATTTCATGAAAAAAAAAAAACATTATTTGAAAAATTGTTTAATTTTTTACAAGAAACAAAAAAAAAAAAACTTTTTCGGAAAAAGGGAACTCCCGTCTTTTTAAATACAAAACAAAATGCTACAAGTTTCCCCAGTAATTCCCAACAATAAAAACAAGAAAAAGCATTTAAAATGCAAAGCCATCAAAGGGCGACGCCAAATGAATTTTGATCCAGGTTTGCAACCTAAAAAACTTAAAAAAAAGATGGTGTAACTTTATAAAGTACATTTCTCATTGTGACCTGGGAGGATAGGCCCCCATTTTTAAGTTAAAAACTTAAAAGCAAAAGAAAAAAGCTCTGTCTTCCCCAAGAATGCAAAAGACAAATTTAATTGCTCAATTAACTAAATCTTACTATTTATTTTACCAAAATACAAAGGGATACCTTGTCCCATCATCATAAATCACAGGCACCGAGTATCGGACCTGGGAAGAAAAAGTAATTGACCAGATTGATAAAAAAAACTGTGTTCATCTTAAAAGTGCCCAAAAAACCAAAAAAAAAAAAAAAATGTAAATAATGACCCCTTTAAAAAATACTATTAATTTAAAGATATTTTTTAAAGGGGGTCTTTTAATTTTAATTTTTTTTGGTTTGTGAAAATTTTTAAAAAGGGAACACAATTTTTTTTTATAAATCTTTTTTCATTTTTTTTCTTCCCATGTCTGATACTTGTGCCTGTGAATTTTAAAAAAAGCTTATTGTTTAAATTTCCACCAAAGTTCAAAAATTTACAATATATTAGACATAAAAAGGGACCTAAAATGAAAAATCCCGGGGGAAACCAAAAGGTTTCTCAGAGCAGTAGTAAAATGGAAAAACCAGCCAAAAATCAACCACTGCTTAAACAGAGAAAAAGACTTGAAGCATGTGAATGTCAATTTACCCCTATTTTGGGGGAATTTTCCTTTTTTTAAAAATTCCTGAAAAAAAAGAAAAAAAAACTTCTTCCCTGTGCAGTATGTTTTGATAAATGATTTTAAAAGCTTTGTAATTAAAAATTTCGCAATATGCCCTTTTTCATTTCCCAAAAAAGTAAAAATCTAAATTTAAAAAGGAAAAAAACCAAATTCAAAACCCCGAAATTTAAAAGGCCCGACCCTGAAATCGAACCCCTGACTTTCCCGAAAAACCAAAATGAGCTATCCCGGGCCCCCCCTAACCATTTTTTCCCTTTTAAAAATGAAATAGTTTCTAAACCCCAACCCTATTTCCCCACTTAATTTGGGTTTATGTCCCTTGGGAATTTTTTGATGTTTAAAAGAGCCCAAATGAATTAAACTCATTTGGTTTAAATGCATTTACTTTGGGTGAGAAAATTTTTTACTTGCCAGAAATCAAACCCGGACCCACAGGGGGGAAAAATGTACCGCGGGTTTTAAGCTATTGAACTTCTGGGCCCCCTTAAACAAAAATTTTGGCCCCAAAAAAGGAACAGGGGTTTTTAAACCCCCTGACCCGATAAATTTAAAATTTTTTTAAAACAAAAGATAAATTAAACCCTTAAATTTTTTTTTAAAAAGAAAAAAAAAACCTTTCCAATTCAATTTGGGCTAAAATTAAAAAACAATTTAATATTAAAAGTATAAATTTTTTACTAAAAAGGGTTTAGAAAAAGAAAACTATTGGTTTTTGCCAAAAATTTATAACATCAATTTGAAAGTGAAACATAACTGTGCTAAACATGGGAAATTTTTAAATTTTTTTAACCCGGGTTAAAAAAATTAAACCCTTTTTTTTATGATTTTTTGTTTTGGGAAATTTTTTTGAAGGTTTATTTGTATTTTGGGATAAAAGGGACTGGGCGAAAACAGGAAAAATTTCAAAAAAACACCCCCACTTTTGTGTCCCGGCGCCTTGTTTTCTTTTTTGTTTCTTTGTTGGTTTTTTAGTGGGAAAAAAACACCTGCTATAAAATTTTAAATGTAAAAAAATTTTTTCAAGGGCAAGTAACAATCTACCCCTATGAAAAATTTTGGGGGGTTTGGGTTTACTCTGGAGACCTGAAAACTTGGGAAATTGAGACCGGTTCCCCCCCCCTTAAAAAATTTGATTTAAAACAGAAGCTTCCTTTTCAAAACTAGAAATGTTTTAAAAAAAAAAAAATAACCCTTCAAAACATGAAATTTTTTAAAAAATTTAAACAAAAATAAAATTTTTGATCCAAGTTTCAGGAAAATTTTCAATTAAAAATGTAAAATTTTCATTTATAACTTTAAATTTAAAGTTTTTATCCCAATTAATTAATGAATAAATTTTAACTCTTTAAATTCAGGGAAAAATTATAAGTCTAAAAATATAAAAAATTTCTAAGATATACATGTTAAAGCCATAACATTAATAAAAAAAAAGTTTTTATTTTAAAAAAATGGAAAAACCAAAAAATTAAATTTGGGACTAAATGGATGGAATTCAAAATCTAGTAGAAATTATATAAACTCTGTTATAGATACTATTATTAGCCAGCTTAACACTGGGTATAAAAAACTATAACCTGTAGACTGATCAATATATGTATTATCATTAATTAATTTTAAATGCAAGTCTCATCCATCATAACTGTAAGTCTTTAAAATACAGAAATACACATTATATCCATATACAATGATACACTTTGTATGCACATTACATTAATAATTCTCAGGTTCCATCCCAAAAAATAAATATAACATTCCTTTATTGACCAGGAATTCATAATCTTGTAGAAAGAAAACTATAATGTTATACATGATATTGTATAGTATAAAAGTAAAAAAAAATCTCAAATAATCTAGTATATCATGTGTTTACAGATTAAGTTGTGTTTAGTGTCTAAACATTTAAATGCATAATATCTTTACAGTAACAAATACTTTCCCCCTCTTTTAACCTTCCATTAGACTATTTACTATACAATGTATGAACTAAACTGCATATAATGTAATCAAGTGTTGTTTAAAATGAGCAAACCTATATGTATAAGCTTAAATATTCTACTTTTCATTTTTTACCAAAAAGGTTATTTTTAAGTAAAACAATTCATATACAAACACCAATAGAAAATAATAAATTTCACATAGTGATTAGAAAATGCCTCTAGCAGAATACCTATATGTATGTACCCAACTGAACAAACTAGAAAAATCTGGTCTTAGGGGGTAATATCAAGCCAGTAAAAAATATATATCAATATTCACTCATCAGGGCCTCTCTGCTTTTGATGACCTTACAACTGGTAAATTTTATAAAAAACAAAAAATAGTAAGTAATACTAAAGATAAAGTAGACAGAAAAGAACAAATAATTTAGTAAACATGAGTTAACTTCTTCCCCTTAAAAGACTGAAAACCTGAAACCCCAAGAACACCCTAAACATTTAAAATTACGAAATGTTGCAGGCTCAGTCAGTTTATTTAAGCCATGCAAATTAATGGTAAAGTATTCATAAGAAATAGATGACCATGTGACAGCAGTTATTGCAGAAAAATCGGATAGCTTTCAACATCCGGATACTGGTACACTTTGTAAAAAAACAACCATTCTGTGCAACAGATCAACGTAATATGGATAAAATCAATAGGATAATCGTTTAGCAACAGTCCATTACCTATCCTTATACTCTTTTGCAGGTGAACTTTTTCTTCTTGTAAGAAAATTTTGAAATATATAAAAGAATGAACGAAATGGTTACGGCATCAATGTAGACCACAACGATATTCGAAATCCGGGCTTTAGTATTGTCAATAAAACTAAAGGGGAAAACTGTTTTAAAATGAGGCCCCCGCAAATTTTGTTTAAAAAAAATATCACAATGCACCCTGCTTTTTTTTATAAAAATTAAATTTTAAAAACAAATAAAAACAACATATTTTTTTAAATTGATTTTTAAAGAATCAAAATAAAACTAATTAACTCAAATTTAAATTAACTGCTAAAAAAATAACAGCTCCCTTTTCCCTAGGCCCAAAAAAGAAAAACCCTTCCCAATAAAAACGACCCCCGCCCCACCGGCGTTTTGCCAATTATTTTTTTTAAATTTGTTTGGGGATTTTTAAAAATTTTATGAAATCCAAAAAAATTTTTGGGTCGTTTTTTTTAATAAGTTTAAAAGGGTTAAAATTCATTATAAATGAGTCAGAAAACTATGCTTACATAACCAAAATATGTATAAAACTTATTAAATGTACAACTGTGGCTATTTCATTTATCTGAAACAAGTGCTGCTACTACAATAGACATATTTGATATTGATAATGTCAGGGTTATTTCCCCTAAAACTTAAATGCTTTCAAAACAGTGTTGCCAACTCGATTATTGACCAATATAAGACTGTAAATGACGTAATAAATGAAACATTTTATGACACAAGATACAGTAAATGACCCTATTGCACAATGTTTAAATATAGATCAAAACGGACCCCTAATATTAAAACAAATTGTACCCCCTGTTAAAAATTCCCAAAAATTAATTCCCCAAGAAAAAATGAATTTTTAAAAATAGTTGCTTTGAACGGTTTTAAATCTTTCTGAATAAGTTATGTCAGTTAAATTTTTTCTCACAAAAAATCATATTCATGTATAGGATGTTTATATGAAATGACCCATATAATATAATTACGTACAGACAGTTTAGAAAGTTTGATGAGTATAAGTTTAAATAAATCAATTGAGAATGGCAATAATGATTATGAAAATTTTGAAAATCCTAACAGTGCTATGATTTTGTTTTATATTGTTTTAACATGTTTAACACACCTTTGATTAAAACCGCATAACAAGCGCATTAAAAATATTGTTTAGCCTGGGTGGATACCTGGAGAAACCCGTAGTGCTACTGAAACGCGCGACAAGTCCCTTGTGACAAGGATAATGAAACAAGCATTGGACCAAACTTGGACCTAAACCTTACTTGGCAAACCCAGAATGATAGTCTTTATGAAAAAATCTCTAAATTAACTTTATTCCTCCAAATGAAACTTTATTTCAGTTTAGATATGCGAAAAAATTAGTTCATTGCATATATCCACCCAGTTTTTGATTAGGAATGAGTACTTTGGTATGGTATAATAGTAGTTCATACATACAAACAAGATAAATAAATACGTGCTGCAAGAGTGATACTGGATAAAAATCATGATTATTCACCTCTTCCGTATTAATGAATTCCCAAACCACTCGAAATAACCAAGCTTATCTAAAATATATTTAAATTGTTAATTCAAATGTCAGATCACGGACTTTAATTAAAGTCCGTGTGTAGATATGCTTTTCGTTTTTTATTAATAGCTTTTACTTTTTTTTACTTCCTAAATTAGATTAGATTAGTCAATTTCCATTTACTTTTTATACATGCAAAAATAAAGAGAACACACGTTTGGGGCAGGGGTTAAAAGCAACCTATATGAATCAGAGTGTGTGCCACAAGTACATAAATTAAAGCAATTCCATTTTTTAAACATAAATAAATATAACTTTTTTGCTTTCCTTCTTTTCCTTCTCGTTTAAACAAGCCTATTATCAAAAAGAGAATATTTTCCGTCATACAGCCAGTCTTCAAAAGTTTTTACAGGGTCATCTAGCAAATTTCGTATTTCATTTTTTACGATACCACTTATTTTATACGTCATAATATTCACGGACGGCATGAAAAAATCGGGGAGTTTTTCCTCTTCTAACATGTTGTACACTTGCTGGTATATTGACAGAAATCGTTCCGCCAACTTTTCGGAAGCCCATGCCATTTCGTCTGGGTATTTTTGACATTCATACAACCATATTATCTTCAAGTAATACGATTTCATGAGCGGCGTTTTATCCCTAGCGCGAGGAGCTAAGAAGCACAAGTTGAAAAATTTAACCAAACCGTAACATAGTTTGGTGCTAAAACCGATCCTTGTATCTAGGTCCTGTATCAGCATGGTTTCAGCCAGAGAAAAGGAGATTCTCCAGATCGTCGTTTGTTCTTCGTCAGTTAGGGGAAACGGTTCTTTTGAAACAAGCTGATATCCGGACGCTTTTATTTTTGAAACAATTTCAGAGTTAGGCCACTCTGCGTTTCCTTGAAGCCACGTTGCGTTTGCTAATGATGGTAGCCCTTTGCAATTTATTGCTAATACTAAATCGACGTCAATAATAACTGAATTGTTGTACGTTACCGTTAGAGTTGTTGCTATTGTCCCGAGGCCTGATAAGCAAACGGTTGGAAGGAATCTAGTTTCTAGCAAAGGTAACTTTCTATGCAAACCGGATTTTAAAGCGTCATCTACATAGTGGTAAAACATTGCTGACAATTTCTTTGACATCAGATATCCATCATCCGTTACACAATCTTTCCAGTTTTCTAAGCATTGGTCTGAAATGCGATATTTTGCATAACCCGGTCTTTCCTTGTCTTCTACAAGAACCCCTTCAATATCTAGCATAAACAGAAGATCGGCCTCATTTGATAAAACAGACACTCCAGCGAAACAACTTCCGACACCATGCACCTTTCCGCTAAATCGAGGATCTTTCCGTTTTACATAATCTAATATATCGGTGCAAAGAAACTCCTCAATAGCTATTCTGCAGTCCGTTCGCTCATTACAATACATATAGTTTCCATATTTATCTCTTCTATTATATCCACCCGCTTCTTTATTGCCATAAATTTTCAATAAAAGTCCATTTGCAGTTCTATTCCTGATTCTTTCTCGTTCTGAAACATCTGAAATGTAATAAATGAAAATCATATACAAACAAAGTGTACGAAACAAAGCGCAATATCAACGCTTAATTTTAAATCAAGCAAAATGTAATGGCGAGGCTTGTCATCGGTATAGAACCAAAGAAGTATGTTTCACGACTATCATGATCGTCGTCCGTCGTCCTCAAGTGAGACTGATGGGTTCATCAAATGAAGCAATATATAAGCTGTTCAAATGGTTATGATTTATTAATTATCTGGGACGTAGGAGCTAAATGAATATTAAACAATCTTTTTCAAAAGTACAAGGTCCAGACATTAGAATTTGGTATGCAGCATTGTTAGTAGACCTTAAAGCTGCATGCCTCCAGATGAGCCAATCTGTTTGCAATTTTAAATTATTTCCTTTGTTCACTTTACAATATTTTACCTTTAAATATATTTTCAAAATTTCCTTGAAAAGTAGCATGAATCTGGAGATCGCTTCTTTCTTTAAATCAAGACGATATGGTCAAAATTGGCATCGCCCGGGACTTAATTATTTCATAACATAACATAAATACCTTTAAAAATATTAAAATCACGATATTAAGATGGTAGAGTTGCGATGATACGATGATGAAAACGCGATATAACATCGTGTTTCCATCATCGTTCCATCGCGTTTTCATCATCGTGTCATCATACCATCGCGTTTTAACCATCGTACAATCGTGCATCGCGGGTAAAAATGAAATAAAAAAATTAGGATTATCAAAACGGAACACCGTAGTCTTGATATAGTTTCCAAAAGTACACTTATTGGACAAATACAAAACACTTTTCGCTTCTTTTTCATTTTGACAATAAGTACATTTATAGTGTACGGAATTCAAAATATTATTTTGTTTACATTTAGCTGCTTTTTTTGACAAATAATGTTACACTCAGCGCTTGTTTTTTTTTCAAGTGTTAAGCATCAAAATTGCTCTGTACCATAATGTAAATGTAATGTTTTTCTGAGGCCTAATTACTTTCAATAAAACGTCAAAAAACACTCGGATTGTCTCTAAAGCGGCCCGCTTTACTATGTTAATATATACATTTTTGTATGATGTTCATTGTTCTGTTCTTATAAATATTTGTTACTTTCTAGTAGTACTACTGAAATCACATTTTGCTTACATGGTACAATTTTATTAATAACAATTTATAACCTGCACATGTATTTGATAAGGTCTCGTGAGCATATGTTGATACAATTTAAGTCTGCATGTGTCATCTGTAAAACCATACAAAAAGGTCTGATAATGGCATTACCAAGATACTATGACAAAATAACCGGATCAATAGAACAAAACACACCCCCGAGCAAAACTGGTTTAAAAAAAGAACGTTAATAGTTGTAACTCACCTCTACAATAAATGACCCTTTCGGATGACATGATAATCCTTTCCTCACATTAAACAATTAATTCATATGATATACTAGTAACATTATTTATTTCTTCCAATATGTTTGAAGCAGGTTTGTCCAATAGAATTGCAGTATTTCATATGAATAATCACTTATTAACTTTTGTAAATCGGCTTTTGAAGTTATTAAATATCGACTGTCTCATAAGATCCTTTTGCGCTTGTTAAATGCACAGTCACGCGTGAACATGTATGACACATAGATTTGTAATAAACATAAAAAACAAATAATAATATCCTCTGGTATATGTCAAGTTTTAGTAGCGAGAAATAAATGTCTGTTATGTTAAAGGCACATTATGCCTTAGAAATCAATATATTTTATTCTTTATAAAGGCCAAATATGTGTTAAAGATGTTTAGAACAAATTAGTTAATTATATCAATAAATACTTGAATTTTAAGAAATGATAAATAATCGATCTCTGTCAATACGCTTTTTAATACACTTTAGTGCAATAAAAAATTCTTATTAATTTAGTGGTGGTCATAATTATAAAAACCTAAAGAATGTTTAGTTGTTAAGGTATTAAAATATGTTTGTTTGGTAATACATTATGCTAGTTTGTTGGAATGAATGCATTGTTATATAACATAATGCATCAAAAACATATAACAGTGGATCATGAGTCATGCAATTAAACCAATTGGGCAACATACAAAGTCCTCTTTGTTAAGCAACACAAATTACAGCTTAATACTGTATTTAATTGTATTGCCACTTTGTTGAAAATAATATTTATTCAAGTGTTTCTTTTGTAAATACAAATATTCTTTGTATGTACATTTGTTGTTTTGTTTTAATACTATTTCATTTTTTGTTCTACTGCGTCATCCCTCAAATGACTTGTTTATGATTTCTCATGAACATTACATTGATTTATTTGTTTCATATTTAGAAACAAACTTGTCATTGATTGAGTATTTCACAATGAAAGCTGGGATGTAAAAGTATCAGAAGTTTCAAATGAGCACCCTTAAACTTTTGTTTGAAATGTAGTTTGATTGATCATAGTCATATTTAAGTAAACGCTTCATTGCATGTGTTACGCAAAAATATAATATCACTTATACAAAACAGTTATCTCCCATTGTAATAATGATAACAATAATAAGAAGAGGAGGAGGAAGGCGATGAAGTAGAAGAAGACATTGCTTATTTGATTACATAAATTTTATTATAAATTCAAGTACTTAACCATTAAATGATAAAGAACTATATTGAGCGAGGAGTCTAGGCTAAGAATTATTGCATTTTTCATCGTAAAGTTTCAAGAACAAATGCTATAATGCGTGAGAATTAAAATGTAATAATTCATTTTAAAAAGCTATATTAGAAAGAAAAAAACATTAGAGAAAACCATATATTAGTTATACTCATAATCAAAGTTAGTACCAAAATTAGATATGTTCTAAGGTAACACATGTATAGCACTATAGCAGGATTCCATCCAAATATGAAAGATGTCTTGTAACTTTGCTTTTACAGTTAACTTTTTCTCCATATAACTTTTGTTCATGTAATTTTACGTGATAAACACAACATACCTTGAATTTATATTTTTTAAATGCAGATATAATTACAAAGAGCTTAGGCTTTCCTTAATTGCTCCAAAGTATACATTTTTTCGTGAAAACGTCCTACTTTAATAACTTTCCGACTTTGAAAAATGGACACTTCCTGCTTTGAATTTGGACCGCTCATTTTAAGATAAAAGTCGACAGTTGACTTTATTGCTTTAAAATATGTTAAATATATTGATGTTTTATAAAGATAATCTCGTCCTACTTTAAACATCAACATTTAAGATTCGATTATGACACAGCTAACATGTGATAACGTTTAATTATCACTGAAAGCACCGAGTGAAGAACCCTTTATAAACAAAAATAATGATTAAAGCCCATTTCTTTGCACCTGTTTTATTACATAAAAAGTAAATAAAGAGGAACAAAGAAATGACCTTTTCAATCAGATTGTTACTTACTGTAATTTTACGTATTTCTAGAATAACAGGATAATCTATCTCCCTGACAGATGTACTTCCTAAATAAATAATTATATCAAATTATATTATTTCTAAGATCTCATTTGCCAGCCATATTGCGCATTGTAGTCAAAATATCAATTTGATATATACTTTTATTGCGACCAAACTTGTATATTCCTACGTTCTTATATGAAAAAAATCTCTATTCAAGAGATGTTTATGATATTCACATAAAATTTTGTTTTAATACAGTGTCATGCTTTTCTTTTCAGTCATCTTATTTATCTTAACTGACATGTTTTGACTTCTCGTTCAGTTGAGGTTTTAACATTTCAGAAGTTTCTAGTTGGTATATTTATAGCTGTTATTCTGTTAACGAACAATATTCATGTATAATAAATTACGTAGATATTTTATGTTCCAAATCGCTCAGAAGCGACCACAATTTTATGAAAATATCATATTTTTACTGTTTTTAATTTTTTTCAAGTATTTTTCAGATAAAGCTTTTAACAAATATAGTAGTAGACTTAAAATAAAATCCCATTTTCTTTTTATATTTAGAGGTTCAATGACACTGCTTAAAATCTTGTTAATGTTGCATTTGACGTTGGTCTACACCAATGACCTTTGTATTACGTTTCAGATCATTCGCTCACTCCGTTTTTCCAGAATATTTATTCTACTTATATGACTAAAAATTATAAAAAGCTTTGTAACGACTTTCATTGTATTCGGGCTAAGAAAAACACAAAAATACGATTTTCAATTTATTTCCAAGTATGTTTCTCATTCATCTTTGCCTGTTTTTCTTATGCGTATACTTATCATTCAGGCAAAAGTACATCTTGGTGAAAAAAAGGCTTTCTACATGTACTTCTATTTTAATTACTATACTGTACTTGGCGGAAATGTTATCATGAAAAGCACTTTGAAGCGATTTGAGAAAATCATCACTTTTACTTCGATACACCCATCTCTCTTGCTCATTGTAAACAGCAAGATAAGCATTTTACGTACTTTCGAAGACAGGTGTAAAATAAACAATATCTCAGATGTGTCACTCTTGACAGTGTTAGAATAAAAATGAAGCTGGCTACATGGAATCATCCCCATTGCTTTATAAAACCCCATTTACTCCAGAACAAACATACTTTATAATAGATCTCTTTACAAAAGACAATGTAGCAAATAATTCATATCTTAATAAAATATATACATAAGTGTTTTACGACACTGTAGATAATAATAATAATAATTACCACATTTCTATAGCGCCCTTCTCAAAAAATAAAATGTTCAAAGGCGCTTTACAATGGAATTATATACATTTACAATGACTTTAAAAACAAAAAAAAGTAATAAAAATAATAACACACATTTATGTATACATTTACAAAATATAAAATATACCATGATTAATCTAAAAGTCTAAAACTCAGTCGATCAAATAAAAAATGTACATGAAGAATAATCTAAGACTTGAAAATAAAATAAAGAGAAACGTTAAAAATATTAAAATTAAAAAAAAAAATACAAATCAAGATAAGACAACTGAAATCTAAATCCAATTTGATAAAAACAGTAATTAATAATGGAAATGTGATTCAAAAATAGACTATTATATTTCAAATGTGTACCCATATATCTAATAACAAAAGACAGCACGCCAATTCATAGTGATGACAAATACAGCACAGTTAGTTACTATAAATTTTCTGAAAAAAATGTGTTTTTAAAGATTTCTTAAAAACATCTACTGTTTTTGAGTCTCTGATACTGTCTGGGAGAGGATTCCACAGTTTAGGTGCCACCGAAGAGAAACTGCGTTCACCATATCTTACAGTCCTACTTTTGGCAACAACAATTTGCTTTGAACAGTTCTTTGATCTTAAGTTTCTTGTTGGTTGATATAGCGCCAGTAAATGTTTAAGGTAAATTGGTGACTGGTCATGTAGGGCTTTATAAGTTTGCATAAGGATTTTAAAATCTACTCGATAAACCACAGGAATCCAGTGTAGTTTCTTCAATACTGGAGTGATATGTTCAAATCTGGATGTTCCTGTGATGATGCGGGCAGCAGTGTTTTGAAGATGTTGTAGTTTATTCAATGTCGTTTTAGGTACACCATATAAAAGTGCATTACAGTAATCCATGCGTGAGATGACTAAAGAATGCACTAAAGATTTTGTTGCATCAGTATTTAGGTATTTCCTTATATGACCAATCTGGCGTAGTTGTCCATAACAAGATCTACAAACTGAGTTAATGTGCTTTTCCAGGGTCATGTTGTTGTCCAATACAGCACCAAGATTTCTTACACTATTTGATGGTTTTATGTTTTCATCTCCGATAGTCACAGTTATGGTCTCAACATGCTGTTGGTTTCTCTGAGATGTTAATATAATTACTTCTGTTTTGTCAGCATTGATTTTTAACATATTATTGTTCATCCATGTTACTCTTTCCGCAAGACAGCTTTGAACTCGATCTAAAGAGTCATTCTTAGAGACTGGACATGTTGGTTTAAAGGAGAGGTACAGTTGTCAATACCATTTTCTTAAAAAATCGTATGTAAAAGTAGACCTTATAAAAAAAGTTTACCTTTCCAAAATTACAATAAATTGCAAAGAAATACAGAAATTTATTAACCTCTAAACGTTCATATAATTTTAAAATACTTGCCTGTTGTACTTTTAATTATTGTTGTTTAAAGCATAAAGTTAGAAACAGATCCTGTCATAAATTACTCGTGTTTATCTCAATTTCTTTAGATCTCAGTATACATTTTGTTGATGATGCAAACGTTACATTTTTTGGTGCATTTATAAGCGATTTACCTGACGCAAGAAAACGCAGATGAAAGGACGCAGATGAGAGGAAATTTTTATATATAGCTTAAATAAATTATAGCGTTTACTCCAATTAATATCGCCCCAAATAAACTACTGTGCACAATTAGTAGCAAAATCTTTTTCGCTGTTAATGACGTTTCGTCGTAATAGATTAACCTTCCAAACAGAATAGCAGATGATATGTTTTCTAGCAAATTAATATAACATCCATATTATGACATTATAAAACAGCTCTCGGTTTCCTGGACCTTATACCCCAAAGGTACTTCTATTTCTATTTCTGAAAAGCTTTTTGTTTCTGGAGCATTTTCATAGTTATCAAAAAGATACTCTTTACCTTACTTTTTCTTCTATTGCCTAATGGCAATTAGTCTAGCTACAGTGATTTAGTATGTTGTATGGAAGTCAAAATACTACTTTGTTTACATTTTATTACTTTTATGACAAATAATTTCATATTTAACACGAGCAAGCTCTAAAGCCATTATTTGAATGTTGTTAAACTCATGTTTGCTCTTTCTAACGAAGTGAAAATGTGTTTCGTTTCTGAGATATAATGTGTTTTTAAGCGAGTTGAGTGTTTAATGTTTTTATTTAAGATTTATTTTTATAAAAGGATAAGTTAACCTTTTCATGTGAAGGGCAAGTTTCAAAAATATTCATATCTTTTTTCAATGAAATAAAGATAAATCATGAAATAAAACATAATTTGACATGATAATGTTTACAAGAAGACAACAAATAAGATAACATTTCGGATAAAGAGCTGCGTCTATTAAATACACAAAAATGCTTAAGTTTCCAGTAAACCCTATAATAAATATATTTATGTAATTGTTTCTTTTGAAAGTAAATGTTATATTAATAAATAAGTCTGAAAACTACTTACATAGCCAAAATATGTATAAAACTATATAAATAAAATGTACAACTGTGGCTATTTCATTTATCTGAAACAAGTGCTGCTACTACAACAGACAGATTTAATATTGATGTCAGGGTTATCTCCCCTTACAACTTAAATGCTGCCAGCTCGATTATTGACCAATATAAGGCTGTAAATGACGTAATAAATGAAAATATTTATGACACAACATAAAATCATAGGGTACACTAAATGACCCAATTGCACAATGTTTAGATACAGAAGTGTACCACTGTAAAAGATTCGGGAATTTTAGGTCACAAGATAAATGATTTAATAGTAGTTAGCTTGAACGTTTAACATCTACTGAATATGTTAAGTCAGTTAAAAAATTCAAAAACATATTCATATATAAAGGCTGTCTATTTTTAAAAATGACGCACATTATACAATTACGTAAAGACATTTTAAAAAGTTTGATGAGTATCAGTTTAAATAGATCTATTGAAAATGGTATTGACATTTTGAATAGTTTGAAATTCCTAACAGTGCTATGATTTTGTTTTACATTGTTTTAACATGTTTAAAACCTTTGAATTAAACCACGAAGCACATTATACATGTTGTTTAGCCTTGGTGAATACCTGGAGATACCCGGAGTGCTACTGAAACGCGCGACAAGTAGCTTATGGCAAGGATAATGAAACAAACATTTGACCAAACAGTCACATAAACCTTACACTTAATTAACTGAAACTTGGCTTCAGATATACGAATGGTATAATTGTATGCTTTAATTGTCAATTACAGTCCGTGCGCAGATATTCTTTTCATTTTCTGTTAATAGCTTACTTCCTAAATTAGATTAGATAGCCTATTGAGTCATTTATAAGTAATAAAGAGAAAACACGTTTCGGACAGGGGTTTGGGAACTGGGGAAATCAACCTATATGAATCAAGAGCTTGTGCCACAAGTACATAAATTTAACCAGCTCAGCTGTTTGTTTAAACATAATTTAATGTTTATTTAAACATAAATTAATATATACAAATCCCTTGTTTTGTTATTGCCCCCCCCCCCCCATCATTTAAACAAGCCTATTATCAAAAAGGGAATGTTTTCCGTCATACAGCCAGTCTTCAAAAGTTTTTACAGGGTCATCTAGCAAATGGCCTACTTCATTTTTTATGCCATCACTTATTTTATAAGTCATAATATTCACGGACGGCATGACAAAAATCGGGGAGTTTTTCCTCTTCTAACATGTTGTACACTTGCTGGTATATTGACAGAAATCGTTCCGCCAACTTTTCAGAAGCCCATGTCATTTCGTTTGGGTATTTTGACATTCATACAACCATTTTATCTTCAAGTAATACGATTTCATAAACGGCTTTGAATTCCTATCGCGGGGAGCTAAGAAGCACAAGTTGAAAAATCTAACCAAACCATAACATAGTTTGGTGCTAAAACCGATCCTTGTATCTAGGTCCTGTATCAGCATGGTTTCAGCCAGAGAAAAAGAGATTCTCCACATCGTCGATTGTTCATCGTCAGTGAGGGTATAAGGTGCTTTTGAAACAAGCTGATATCCGGACGCTTTTATTTTTGAAACAATTTCAGAGTTAGGCCACTCTGCGTTTCCTTTAAGCCACGTTGCGGTTGCTAATGATGGTAACCCTTTGCAATTTATTGCTAATACTAAATCGACGTCAATAATAACTGAATTGTTGTACGTTACCGTTAGGGTTGTTGCTATTGTCCCGAGGCCTGATAAGCAAACGGTTGGAATGAATCTAGTTTCTAGCAAAGGTAACTTTCTATGCAAACCGGAATTTAAAGCGTCATCTACATAGAAGTAAAACATTGCTGACAATTTTTTTGACATCAGATATCCATCGTCCGTTACACAATCTTTCCAGTTTTCTAAGCATTGGTCTGAAAGGCGATATTTTGCATAACCCGGTCTTTCCTTGTCTTCTTCAAGAACCCCTTCAATATCTAGCATAAACAGAAGATCGGCCTCATTTGATAAAACAGACACTCCAGCGAAACAACTTCCGACACCATGCACCTTTCCGCTAAATCGAGGATCTTTCCGTTTTACATAGTCTAATATATCGGTGCAAAGAAGCTCCTCAATAGCAATTCTGCAGTCCGTTCGCTCATTACAATACATATAATTTCCATATTTATCTCTTCTATTATATCCACCCGCTTCTTTATTGCCATAAATTTTCAATAAAAGTCCATTTGCAGTTCTATTCCTGATTCTTTCTTGTTCTGAAACATCTGAAATTAAATAAATTAAAATCCTATACAAGCAAAGTGTAAGAAATAAAGCGCAATGTCAACGTTAAATTCGAACATCATGACTATTTTTGCAAATTTTAACCTCTTTTTGGTGATTGCTGTTTGCAATGTAAAAATTATTTTCTTTGTTCACTTTACAATTTTTTTACCTTTAAATACTTTTTCAATTTTTTTTGAGAAGTGGCATACTACTAGATCGCTTCTTTATTTAAATCAAGACCATATGGTCAAAATTTGCATTGCCCGGGACATAATTATTTCATAATATAACATAAATTTACCTTTAAAAATATTTTAAAAACACGATGGTATTATGGTAAAGTCGCGATAATACGATGATGAAAACGCGATATAACATCGCAATTTCACCATCGTGTTTCCATCATCGTGTCATCATACCATCGCGTTTTCACGATCGTACAATCGTTCATCGCGGGTAAAAACGAAATAAAAAATTTACGACACCGTAGTCTTAATATAGTTTCCAAAATTATACTTATTGGACAAATACATAACATGATTCGCTTCTATAGCATCTTGGCAATAATTGCATTTATAGTGTATGGAATTCAATACTACTTTGTTTAAATACTGCTTTTATGACAAATAATGCTACAATTTACATTCAGCGCTTCTTTATTCAAGTGTTAAGCATCAAAAATGCTCTGAAACCATAATGTAATTGAGGCCTAATTACCTTCAATAAAACGTAAAAAAAAAACATTCTGGTTCTCTCTAAAGCGGCCCGCTTTACTACGTAGATATATACATTTTTGTATGATGTTCATTGTTCTGTTCCTATAAATAATTGTTACTTCTGAAGTACAACTGAAATCACATTTTGCCAACAGTTTATAATTTGTATTTGATAAGGTCTCGTGAGCATATGTTGATACAATTTTAGTCTGCATGTGTCATCTGTAAAATACTACACAAAGGTCTGATAATAGCTCTACCAAGATACTATGACAAAATAACGCATCAAAAGTACAAATCACATCCCAGAGCAAAACTGGTTTTAAAAAAAGAACGTTAATAGTGGTAACTCACCTCTACAATAAATGACCCTTTCGGATGACATGATAATCCTTTCCTCACATTAAACAATTATTTCATATGATACGCTAGTAACACTATTTCATCCCATATGTTTAAAATTAGTTTTTGTCCAAAAGAAATTGCAGTATTTCAAATAAATCATCATTTATTTACTTTTGTAAATCGGCTTTTAAAGCTTGTAAATAATCGACTGTCTTACACGATTTTTTTCGCATGATCAATGCACAGTCACGCGTGAACATGTATGACACACCGCTTTTCTAATTAACATAAAAAAAACAAATATCAATATCATCTGGTATATGTCAAGCATTCGTAGTGAGAAAATAAAAACATTTTACCTTAAAGGCACATTATGCGTTAGAAATCAGTATTTGTTATTCTTTATAACGGCCAAATATGTGTTTAACAATGTTGAACATGTTAGATGTTTAGAACATGTTAGATGTTCGAAAACTGAAAAAAGTAGATCTAAATGTGCAGCAATGTATCGTAAATGTAGCAAAACTGTAAACAAGGTAGAATGTTTTCTTCCATACAAAATTACTGTAATTATACCAATTGCCAAAGAGCAAAAGATGGTTCATCAATATGGCCAATGAGTAAATATTTGAACACTGTAACAAGATACCAAAAAACGAAAAGATTTTGGGAAATGATGAAAATGAAAATAATAAAATGATGGCATTATGGTGCCTTAATGGGCCTTTAACGTAAGAACTTAAAAATGTTGATGATGAATGCACGCGTTTGACCATTTCACATTACAGGTCAAGAATAAAGTTCTAAACTTCTAGCTTAATAATGACTAATCAAAAGTTTTGGAACGTACTCACCAGTGCATAAATTTATTCTCAACATTTTCGCTGTGTTTTATTTGTAAGACGCCGCGTGCACGCGGAGGCTTGTAGATATGTATTCATCCATTCAGCAATCGGACAATTTTAGTCTTGCTTTTTTCCTTTTTTATGCCAAGATGAAGATCATCAAATGTTAAATCTGTGTCAAGAACAACGACCTCAAAGGATGTATGGAGGATGAGGACTGAATATTTTATCATATAAATTTCTATCTTCCATTGCATAAACTCGACTTCACAGAAAAAGATCGTCAGTCAGGTAAAAACTATCGCCGAATTTTTTTTAGGCCTGACCATGTGATATTTTAAACAGCGAGAAATTCTTTCCAATTTCCGACAAAATCCATCCTATCTACCTGTTTCATTCACATGAAATAGCGTTCTCTTCTTTAATAGATCAATTGATTACCTAAATTGACGAGATGAGTGCCTTTTATGAACTACTGTAAGATAATTATTGAAATAAAGGATAGACTTTGCTTTTTTAAACATATCTTCTTTTCATGCTTGCTGTTAGCATCGAATTTAATTAATCTCTGTATGTAGAGGTGTTAGTATCAACTTTGATCAAAACCGTGTTGCCATGCCAATAGAAATTGTTTTTCTACGTAGGAATCCCTTCAAACGTCAAATTTATACAACAAATTTTATTCAGCATCAACATACAGAGAAAAGTCAGGAGCATAAATGAATACTCTTGTACAATAAGTTTCAATGAGCTGCCTTTTGTCTACTGCTCCTTTTCTATACAGACATTTGAACTTAAAATCGTAAACTATTATCATCATTATTATCATCATTATGATCATTATTATCACCAACCCTTTTATTAATTGTAACGAAATAGTGATATTGGCATCATAACAGAACAGAATAGAACAAAACAAAACAGAACAAACCATAATTATGTACAGAACTGTACAGTTTCTTGTATTTGTTATAACAATGTATAGTACACATTTAAAGATATTTAATACTCATGTATTTTAAACATACATTAAACAAGAAAGAGAGTGACACAAACAAAATAATAGTTCATAGATATCTTAATTAACATGCACTTTTTCATAGGTGAGTGTCATACACTTTAAGTTTCAATTTAATCCAAGTACGTATAACTGATACTCAAAAAATCCAAAACAAAAATTAATCACTTTTGTAAAGCTTCACCTTTTAAAAATAAATATAATTTTAGTCCCGGCTGAAAATTTCATTTATTTTTATACGTGAAGTAATGCAGCAGATCGTTGAAAAGTCAACAATGGATTATTAGATTCTTGTACTAAACATTGTATTATGAAATATTTTGAAGACACGCTTTGTATAGCTATATTGTGCCACGTGAGAAATGTACATTGCAATAGTTTGTTATAAAATATCAGGTGGAGGTTGTCCTCATAAAGGATACTACGATGTACATATTCAAATAGATTGAGCTCCACATTGGTTTACTATAACCATTCACTCATTTTTTAAAATATACAGTATCAGACCTTATTAAATTGGATTTTATGTGACATTATGCTCACTCAAGGATGTATAATAAGTGAACAGATGAAAGTCACAATAAGTTTACATTTTGCCTGATTTCTTTAAATTTTATAATTCACTTGGCATGAACGACAAATAACTCGTGTGGTATAAGGAACTTTCTGTAAATATTAATAGGCATTACCTGTAATGGTCAATTTATAAAAAGAGTGGGACAGTCTTTTTTATATCCAGGCTTATTTATATTTACTCCTTAACATTTTTCAATGTCAACCATTATAACAGTCAATCTTTTGAGATATTAAGTCAATCCAGCTCAACTTGACAACAACAGTGACAATGACAAATGAGCATAATTTCTAATTATGTTGTATGATGTTATCTAGTATACAGGGTTTCCATTGGCCAACTTTATCTCCCGGCCACTGATGAAAGTCCCAGGAGGGGGCTCCCTTGCGGCCGTTGGAAATTTTTCAATCTCTCATTTTAAGATACCAAATTTAAAAAGTATCTACAGCTTCGACTGTTCTCAATATTTAAAGGCATTAAAGAATTTAAAAGAGATAAATGTAATATTTTTCTGACTTTTATTTTTGAATATCTTGAAGTTCATAGATCTACATCATATCAGCAAATAACAATTGATTTTTTACACTGGCTTAAAATAATAATAGCAATAATCTTTTACTTGAAACATAATAGCCAAAAGTTCAGATACCAGGTACTGTATATATTCAACCTTTTCATGGACTTTGGAATCAATTTGGTCAAAAGCGTTTTTGCTAAAATCATCAACGTTTTTGTATTCTTTTCTCTTTTTTTCTCTGTCTCCATGGTTCAAAGTGTGACATAACAAACAGAATCTGAAGGTTCAAAATTGTCTAAATACTTATTTTAGAAGAAAAAAGGGTGGTAAACATATATCTTTCATATTGTTAATCAGTGTTTTTGTTGGGTTTTTCAACTAATCAAATGTCTTAAATCATGCCATTTGGCCTCATATTGGAATTTTGTTAATGTTCATATCAAAATTACACACTTGAACATCATAGATTAAATGGATTATCAGAATAAAATTTGGGAAGGTTTGATACTTAGAAAGCGGTTAATAAAGATATTACATAAACCCAAAGATGCACAAACGTTACATGTGTTACGAGCGTAATTTGAATTTCATATCGATGCAGCAATACTAAATTACCTAACAAACACTTCTAAAAAAATCAATATTTGCGAACACTGTTGAAAGCAGTGAAAAAATAAAACTAAGTGAAGTCTTTGTAGACGATGATACTTCCGGCGGTTGTTCTAGAAACGGGCTGTCACCTAAGCATATTCTTGGTTCCAAAGTACCATCAATGTTGCTGATCACTTCAAATTCACCGTCAAAGTAGAAGACATCATTGTAAGAGAGTAGCGTATTACCTGCTAAAAGACTATAATCTGAACCATTGAATCCCAGAGAAATCATTTTACAGAAATTCGTTTTGGTAATTCTCCCAAATACCGGGGCACTTTCTTTTGAGGTTATAATTGGGAATATTGAATTTTGTCGAAAGTATGGAATCTTGCCGGGTAACTGATATCGGGTTGCTAAACCGTACCATATAGGAACTATTTGATTATTGATTGGAAAAAGGGCGTTATATTCTAAGAAATGTGAAGTGAGGGACATTTCTGCTTGAAGACCCTTAATTTTCCATCGTTTTGTCACATAATGTTTAACCACATTGAGCACTGAATGATGTTTCTTTCCCTTGTGATGCAGTGTTAGAAATACGATGAAACTTCCTATATATTGCCTCTGGTTGCTTCCTACTTCCAATTCGTAAAACAGAGATTTTACCGCCCAACTCTTAGGCCAAGGGCAGTACATCCAAGAACTTACGTCACTTCCGCTTTGCAGTAACGTCATCAAAGTTGACATATTCATCAAATCGGAGTCTAACTTCAGACGAAGGGCAATGTGATAAGGAACTAGCCATGTCAGTGCCGGATGAAAACACTTGAAGTTGATGTCATATATTTGACCTGATGGACACTGGATATTTACGCACGTATCATGTACCTATTTGAAAAGGGGAAAAGCATGTTTGTAAATTTCATATTTTATCATACGACATCATGATCTAAAGAGCCCTAAATTCCAACATAAAGAATATTTCATGTCATAGTACAAGTAGAACTAACATTATAAGAAAGAAATAAAGATCCAAGATTTTAAACCATAGGTTATTTTGCTTTATTGTTATCCATCGTTAAAGGAACTCTATTGAGTTCCAAATGCCTAAAAATTAAATTTGAATTTCTTACATAAATCAAATGAAAACATATGCAAAAGATGATAAATATTTTATACTAATAATTAAATTAAAGTCGGTAAGATTTGTGCGATTTTTTTTGCGAGATTCCAATTATAGCGTTTAAGAGCGTTTCATGTTTTTTTGTCTTTTATTTACATAGCAAAAAATAATTATACTCTAAAAAACTGAAATGTTGCACAAAAGTAATTGGTTCAGACTTACAACAAACGAGATTTAGACTTTAAAAAAAATTCAGACCCAAAACATCAAAAACCTTTAGTAGAGTCTCTTTTATACCGAGTGCTTTCATGGCTTTAGGATGTGTTTTAAATAAAAATTGATTTTGTTGTTGTTATAAACAGTAAAATATAATACCAGACTCGTTGAAGTTGAATTCATACATGCTTTTGGCCTATATGTGCTCTTTCTAACGTTTATATCTGTAAAACTGGTGAGGGCACTTGTATCTAGCAAACATGTAAATGTCCTGTCATTTATAGGCGGTCCAAATGAATCCGAGTTAAATGAAAAGCAGTATTCAGCCATGAAACTTTCACCACCATTGCATAGAAAA